ATATAAACATTTTATTATTTATCCAAATAATTGTATTATTTATTTGTTTTATTTATTGTTTATTCTAAATATATTTTATACAGACAGACAGACATAGATAGATAGATAGATAGACAGACAGACAGACAGACAGACAGACAGACAGACAGACAGACAGACAGACAGACAGACAGACAGAAAGACAGACAGAAAGACAGACAGACAGACATAGATAGATAGATAGACAGACAGACAGATCAATGTTTTGTTTCCGAGTTCTTTTGTATTATATTTTCTTCAGTTGCATTATAAATATTTACTTTTCTTTCTAATTCTCTAGGAATCCAGGCCTGCCCCACATTCAGCTGATATCCGCAGCAGAGTAGAACATGTGCAACGCCTCCCTGCACAGACATAATTTGTTTCACAGTTACTGCCCAGCAGCATGAATCAGATGTTGACATTCTAATTTCATGCACACAAGGGTGTTCAACCCCAACCCCACTGTCTCTGGTGTCCATCGTACCTGGAGACAAGCGTCCGAGACCAGCCTGACCCCCACAGGAGGGGTCCACTGAGTCTGAAGCTTGTGTTAGAATCAGTTCATTTACATGTTCCCAACATAAAGCTGTGACAGTGACATCAGATAGGAATAAGAGTTAAATCTGTTTTGATCAAGTATGGCAGTTGTGTAAAGGACCAAAATGTTTTTTTTTTTTTTTATTAATTTAATGATGCAATTTTTTTTTTATTATGCAACTGTATTTATTTATGTACAAAACAGAGTTTTGTTATTTATGCAATATTATTATTTATGCACTATTATTTATTTATGTAGGCTATATCTAATGATGTTATTTATTTGTATGCAATTTTTTATTCATTAATTTATGGAATATATTATTTGTTTATTTATTCATTTATGCATTCGGTCATTCATCTAATGATGCTATTTTTGTATTATTATTTATTAATCAACTTTATTTATTTACACAACAGAATCCGCGTTATTTATTTATTTATTTAGCCTATGCAATATTATTATTTATGCAAATATGAAATATTATTGGTCTATTTATATGATGCTATTTATTTCATGCAATTGTATTTATTTATTTATACCAAAGAGTTCATGTTTTTATTTATTTATTTGTGCAATATTATTTATTTATTCTTTTAATCTAATGCTATTTATTTATTTACCATTATGCAATATTGTTTATTTACACAACACAGTTCGTGTTATTTATTTGTTTATGTGTTTACACAACAAAGGTCGCGTTTAATAATAAACTATTATTTATTTAATAGTTTATAAATCCTTTCATTTGTGCCTCCTATCACCTCCACTATAACAATGGGTCAGGCTAGGAGTGCCTACCTCAGTTAGCACTTTTTGCTAAGCATGCACGGACTGCATAAATATATTTGTTTATTACAGTTGTTTTTAGTAAAAATCAATGTGTGGCTGCAAAGTAGAAAGAAAAATAGCCATCAGCAAAGCATAAACACACATCCGTTCCTCCTTCAGCGATGCGGTTTGTCACATTTGCAGAGTAAACTGGATGCAACTTTTGCTTAGCGTCGATTAATTTTTACGCTTTTACAAACAGCATCTTGACAGCCCATAATATGAGTGGAAACATGAGGAGTGCGGAGCTGAAGCAAACTCTGGCCTCATTCTGTCAGCGTTACACACCTTCGGAGAACCCCAGGTAAAAAGAAGCTATTGCAGATGAGACTTAACGAAGAAAGTGTGTTTCTGCCACCAGAAGAAGTTACAAGAAGCCTTGATTTGATTTACAGCCTGTCAGTTCAACCCATTGTGATATAAAATGATTGGTTTAACGAACTGTTTGGCGCTATCAATCTTGACACAACAACACCGTGTTGATCGTTACCTTTGCTGACTGTCTGAGTCCGAGTTCGCTTCTCATCCTGCAAAACAAATGAACTCGTTCGAGTTCAGCAAAAAGCCAAGAATCAACCAAAGTTCTGTCAGACGGATTTGACTTATTGCTCGACAATAAACAACCGTCCACTGTCCATTTCATCTCTCTCCGCTGGAGGTTAAGTCGAGTTTATTACTGACGCCTCGGTCGGCTTGCATTAAGCAAATCATAAATTATGCATGCTAATTACCTTGGGCTCCCACTGTAATGAATTCTTTTAATTAAACTAGCACATTGTGGTTTTGCGTGGCTCGCTCTATATTTTATCCCCCCCACCCCGCCTAGGATGACCTTCTTCTTCTAGGAGTGGATCATGTAGTGGATGGATCGTTTTGTCTTTGCTTACACAACAGAGTTCACGTTGGTGTTAATGAACAGAGAAAGCCCTCTCTACGACAACGGAGGCTGACATCACAACAAGCTGCTTTTCAGCATATGATGTGGAAGCGACTTGCCTGACTGTTGGTTTGAGGAGGACAGACAAACGTAAGGTGTTCAGAGATCATGTGACATGGACATGCGTGGAAATGTAGAGCAAGACTGCATCAGACAGAAAACTTCACAATTTGTGTTTCATGTGAAAACGCTTTGGGAAAGGTAAAGGTGCTGGGACTGTATCTCAAAAAAAAAAAAAATGCCGGGTTGTTTCAACTCATGTTTGGGTCAAATATGTAGGCTACAACCGTTCGTTTAAAAAATGTTACATTTTTGGCTCTGTAGATATTTGACCCAAACATGGGTTGAAACAATTCAGCATGTTTAGAGGTCTTAAAAACATAAAATTACACTATTTTATTGGCCATGACAGATAATAACTAAAAATGCTGGGTTGTTTCAACCCATGTTTGGGTCAAATATGGACAAACCAAACCGTTGGTTTAATTTTCTTTATTCAATTTTTGGATTTGTCCATATTTGACCCAAACATGAAACAACCCAGCATTTTTGGTGTAAGTTAATTGATAAATTATGATTTGGAATTATATATCCGTAACTTAACTTGTTTAACAGTGCTGGTTTTATGTTATGTCTTTCAAAAAAAAAAAAACTTCATGTTTTTAATAAAATTGTAAAAATAAATAGGGACTACAATAATAAGCGACTGAAATAAAATTAGCTATTATTTATCTCTTTTTTTTTTCAAAGTACAAAACTTAAAAATATTTTTGGACATTTGTCTGTTGATTTATCGCATGTATCTTCTTTAAATTAATGAATACAAAAAATCATATATATAAAAACGTTTGGACATTTAATTTTTTCTTCTGTAAAACGTGTCTGATTATTTTTAAATAAAGTTTTGTTTACATCTGTAAAATATGCCTATTTCTGTTTTTAAATAAAAACGAATAAATACAATTAAAAAAACTATTTTTTAAGTATTTTGCTCTGTAAAACATGTATATTGATGTTTCTATTTAGATCCTTTCTTCTTTTTAAAACTAAACATACACTTCTGTCGGTATGATAACCTAGAGTAAACATCAATGCAACACAATGTCAAACTCCGAAAAGGAAAGTAAAAAGAAAAGCAAAAAAAAAGGGAAGGGTGAAAAAAAAACTTGCAGTGTTGTGCAAACAGTCTCTCAGGGGGAGGGGTTGGATTTAAATTCCAAAGGGGTCTCAGAACTCGTTTCCTAGTCCCCCAGTCAGCTATGTGTTTGTGAGAAATCGGCCTTTTTGTCTTTCTGAAAAAAGACTAAATCTACATCGGTGGCCCAGTCTAAGTTTGCAATTCTTTGCACTTTCTATTCAAGTGAATGAGGGTGAATGAAGTGGCCAGGGACCCTTTATTTGATCAGCTCAATTGCATAAAGTGACGGAATTCTAATGTATTTGCTTAATATCCCGGAGAAGGCTGTTGCTCTCTATGCGGGGACGCAAACAATGCACCTGTTTCTCGCATTCTGACCGCGACACATCCTTTATCAATGGACCCCCCATTAAACCTGAGAGTAAAAAAAAGGGGGGACATGTTGAAATCAGGGTAAAAATCTCAGGCAAAATAAAACAATGAAATAATAAATAAATATGAAGGGTAGGCTAAATTATACGATAAAACAAATTTGTTTGTAAAAAAACAAATCACGATTTATCACAGCATTTATTCTTTTGTCAAAAACAACTTAGATAATTAATGTGGTTTATAACATAATATTTTGAGTTTCTGTTGATTAAACCAATCTCCATTGTATTAACTCGTTTTTTTATTTATTTCCATGAACTCAAAATTTTAAGGCAACCATGCAGGTAACTTAATTTTTTAAGTAAAACCAACAATATATTTTTTACAGTGCAATTGTATTATATCCAAATCAAATAGAATAGAATAGAAAAAAATGCTGGGTTGTTTCAACCCATGTTTGGACAAATATGGACAAACTGTTGTGTTTAAAAATGTATTTAAACCAATAGTTATGTTTGTCCATATTTTGCCCAAACATTTGAAACAAGCCAGCATTTTTTTTTTCGTGTGTGTGTCTTTGTGTGTGTAAAAATAGGCTAAATAGTATGGAAATACAAAGTACACCTGGTGCATGGTGAAATTCGCTAAGAATTAAATTAAAGAATATATATCTGATATTATTTCTGTCCTCCGCTCAGGTTTAAAACTGGACGTGCACAGTGAGTGTCTGTGCTGATGAATGAGTCCGCTTGTGTTTGCTGTGACTGCGGCACAGTAACTTCATGCATCCTAATCAAGAGCTTCTCATTCATTTATTCCAATCCGTCGCTTGTGCTTTTCCTCGAAGAAAAGCAGCGCTCACCTGCCTGATCCGATGAGCGAATTCATAGCGAAAAAGATGTTCAAACAATATGTACAAATTTATTTTATAATAGCCTACATAAAAAGCCAATAAATAAAATAGATTTTGCTACACCAGCAAATAGCAGTGCTGTATCTTTTAATTATAATGTTTGTATTTCAGCGTTATTCTCTAATAATAATAATAATAATAATAATAATGTTTTTGTTTTGTATTTGTTTTCACACATGAGTGTACGTAATGGCTGTCTGTAAAGAAAGAGAAAATCATAAGCTAAAGGCACAAACGAATACAAGAGCAATTATTTAAGTTTACACAATTTTAATGAAAAAATATTCTGATGACCAAGTTTATAATTTAATGCAGACGTTTTTGCACATCTTTTAAAAGCACGCATGCTTGAACAACACAAAGTCTTGGAAAAAGGCATGCTTTATATCTCAACAAAAAGTACAAATGTACGGCATTTTAATACACATGGTCACCACGGCTTTAAATTAAACGCTCACAAAAACATTTCCTGCAAAATAGAATGTAAAACATCTAAACTAAAAAGTGCATTTGACACAATTCAATATCACTTATTTGCAATTATTCACATATTTACTTCTTGATGACCCTTTGCTTTAAAACTATTTAAACTTTTTTTTCAAGTTTGCCATGATACTGTGTGTATGTGTGTGTGTGTGTTTTTTAGATCAAGTAGGATAGTATTTGGTTTGCAGACTGAGACAAGTTTAGTCGTCTAGGAAAGTTAGTTGCATGACTACACGAGAGTAGAGAGCATTCCAACTTACAATTTGTTTCAGCGCGATAACAATTATAACCTGTAAAAACGACGAGCGCTTTTGCCTTGCGCGATTCAAACACGAAGCAGATCGCAGTGCTTGGAATTTGTCAGCAGTTCAAACCCCATTCGAATAAACACGTAAAATTCTGGATATTTAAAATGTAAAAACTCTCCATTTTACAATACGATATCCGTGTCGATCCATGTGATTGGACTCATCGAAAGCAACACTTAAAAATCTCAACACATATACACATAAATTACCATCACTGCAACATAGATAGCTCTTGCCTTGATTGTATAGCCAGTGTTTTTTCAAGGTCTGTTATTAAAATTCAACTTTGGAGTACAGGTGTCGACCGGGGAGGCCCCCACGTTCGCGGGTGTCAGTGCACAGCGACCGACTGCAGCGTCGCGGGACCCGTCAGAGTCTCGCTCGGGGTGGCTGGGCTGCTTTGGCTGGTCGCTGTCTGCGGGGACGTCGGGCTCAGCGACTGGGGAGAGTTCGATAGGAAAGCGGGGATGTGGTGAGGCAACGCCGCCGGGGTGGGCTTGATCGGGACGGGGATCGCCGGTAAGGTCTGTCCGCCGTGGCAGAGCGACTTGATGGGCACACCGTAGGCACTGTAATCGCTGGTCATGGAGATGGGCGCAGCGCTGTCCATCATGCTAGTGCTGTACATATGGGGCCAGGCTGTGGTCAGCTGGTTGTGCAGAGGGTACCCGGTGGAGAACGCCAGCCCTCCTGGCACTTTATACTCTCGGGCGATGATGTTCTCTATGGCGAACGGGTGCTTGAACGTGGACGGCTGGGACACTCCTAGGTTGTAGCTGGACATCTGGGGGAGGTGGGTTCCCAGGGCGCTGAGCCGGATCTTGGCGTGCTGCTGGAGGTAGTGGGCAGCGTCCGAGGGCTTGCTGGGTGCCAGGTGCTCTGATGTCATCACCTTGAAACGTTTGCGGCGTCGCAGGAAACTCCCGTTCTCGAACATGTCGCCGCAGCTGGGGTGTAGCGCCCAGAAGCTGCCCTTCCCGGGCTGGTCCGGGCGTCGGGGGATTTTAATGAAGCAGTCGTTGAAGGAGAGGTTGTGGCGCAGGGAGTTCTGCCAGCGCTGGGTGTTTTCCCGGTAATAAGGAAAGCGGTCCATGATAAACTTGTAGATCTCGCTGAGAGGAAGCATCTTCTCCGGACAACTCTGGATGGCCATAGCGGTGAGGGAAATGTAGGAGTACGGCGGCTTCTGGTCGCTGTAAGTGTTTCTCCCGGGTCTAGGCATCCTGTCCAAAATTCCGGAATTAAGCTGGATGTCTGTCCTCAGTTGTGTTTTATGAGTTTTCTTTCTGTTAAGAGAGCCGAGACTCGTCCTGCAAGTTCACTTGCTTGGAGCTGTGACCTCAAGAAACAAGAAGTAGTAAGGTTTCCTTCTTCCCAGGCCAGCTTGAATGGACCAGATCCCCTCTCTCGCGTTCTCTCTCCTTCTTTCTTGATAAGACTAAGAGCTAAGTGGCTGCCTCCATGTCCTTCCTCTAACCATCTGATAGTTTTATGTGGCGACATGGGCAGAAAAGACCCCTGTAGAGGCGCTTCATTAATGTGCCACTTCTTTGCTATCACATGACAATCGCCTTGGGAGGAGGGGGGCTGGGAGAAAGGCATAATCTGGTTTCATTTACACCTATTTACATGGACACCTTGGGCCAATAGAAATCATTTCCATTTGAAGACAGAGCAAAGGGGTGAAAAGGCTCGGCAACCGGAATTGAACTGCGATGGCACCCGGTAACAGTGTGTGAAGGTATGTGTGTGAACCTTTCTGCGCGCTTCGTAGGGTGCTTGGTCTACAATTCACACGTACAAATGGAGCTACTGAGCAATGGGATGTTTGACATGGAAATTGGCTGGAACTTGCATGCAGTTTGCATTGTATCGTCACAGTTACTTTTTGCTTGTCTTGCTGTCATGACACAGTTCGTATGACTTTTGCCTGTTTTGTTATGCCTCCTTAGAGCGAAAATGTCAATTGCATCCCAACGTAAACATGTGGAGGGCAAATTGAACCGTGTAGCGACACATTTTTTTCCCAGCCGTTTCCACATGACTAACCAGAGCGCCTCGTTATTATAATGAGCCAAGGGAGTCATACATGTGTCATTTAGCCCATAAGCATATGTTTATTAGCATCTAGAAAATGTTCCACGGATGGTATTTTACTACAGTCAGGCGATAGCCCTATATGTTTTATTAAATCACGATAAAGGTTAACTATAATCACACTAAAAAACTTGAAACGGAAGTTGCTGCCTTAATTTTTTTAATGAAAGTTTCAATTTATACGCGGATTATTTTATTTCACGACCGCTTTGATTATTTAACGAGTTGAAAAATCTGGTAGAAATGTAATAGATGGAAACAAAATGTTGTCATGGCATTGATGAAAACATATTCGCGGTGCGATTAATAACAATGCGTGCTTACAAACGGCTGCTAAATAATTACACATAGTTCATTAGTATTACACGGTGCTTACTTACTTATGCAAATACACATTAACACTGTAGTGTAAAGTGTGAACAAATCACCACTTTTTGCCAATGATTAATATTCTCTTAATTTTAAAGATGTAGCCAGATCTCATTATTGCGGGTTTAAATGCGCGAGCACATCCGACAATATTAACAGCAATACTTGAGAAACCTCTTCACAAAGCCGACGACGGGATAAATATAAAAAGACACGACCTATGTGCAGATTAAGGCTTCCAACATATGTTAATATAATATAATTCACTATAACAGTCGATTCAATACAATGTATTTTATTTAAAAAATAAAAGCGTGATTATTTTTTTTCCTAATGCCACACAAGTGAAGTGACCATATAGAGGTTACATAAGCAAATGTGCAAACATTTAAAAAAAAAAAAAAAAAAAAAAAAAAAAAACCTTCTTGAAATGAAACTTCATAATGCCAGGCGGGCTTTTGTGCTCATGTAAAGCAAACTGAAAAGTACTTCAGATATGCAAATAAAGCCTTCAGAGTGGCCTTGTGAAAACTGTATAAAATATCCATAAGTCAATTATATGAATGTGAAAACCAAATGGAAGCCTATTTTGAGCAATGGCCATTCAAGCTTTTTTTTTCAGAGCTCACCAAGGGCCACCTTTCCGCTTGGCGAGTTTGCAATGCGATGGACCACACACGAGCTTGCGGATTTGCTCATAATTTATGCAAATTTTCCACCATAAATCCACCAATGAGACCCCTGACTGCTCTGACGGATCGCGAATAGAATCAACCATACAAGTGATTAGAAGCAATACGCATTGTTTATTTTGATGCCTGTTTGGAAGATGCAGGAGGGAAGAGGTCTATCTAAACCGCGAGAGCGAGAGAAAAAAGACTTTTACCAGGCAGCTAATATTTACAAAACAGGAGGAAAGTACCAAGCAAAGCGTTATAGTTTCCTTGGTTGCCACACAATCACCGTCTCAAAAACACTTTCTTTCCAAGCTAGGAAGTCATGCAGCTTCTCGCTGCGCCGTGAAGTACTTCTTCTTTTAACTTGTCATTCCTCTGCTTGTGTATTGACAGAAAAGGGCCAAAGGAGTCCAATTTTCCAGGCTTCTTTCACATGGAGTTTTCCAGAGTTCTTCCGATGCTGTCTTTGGAAAGCAACGTCGAGGTTGTGTGTGACAGAGCAAGTATTCTTCAATGAATCTGCCATGGTATCCGACACCTTCAGCGAGAGAGAGACAGGGAGAGTTTGTGTTTGTGTTTTCGTGTGTATACCGCTCATAAAAACACTCTATTCCTCTGCCCAAATGTTTACCCAGACAAGAAACAATAGAAAAACAACTATGTGACTTTCTAGTGTTCATGGAAAGAAAGGAGGGACTCGAAAAGGCATACAAATAACAAATGCACTCAGAAAAAAAAAATCACACTTCACATTACCTTTTTTTAAATAGCTATTTCTGAATAATGTAAATGGACAACATGGTGTTTTCAACTTATGCATAGCTCAGGGGACTTATGTGCTACATGCCAAACTTTTATATTCACAAATTTGTCGGTTATACAAATTAAAAGTTTTGAACTCTACAACGCATCGCTAAATTGTTGTTATACTTTTCTGCACCAACACCATTAGAAAACATGGAATTTTTTTTTTTTGTGGTGATAAATTACCCCTATCCAAAAAAATACAATTATGCCATTTATCATTTTAAACATGTTAGTTAAAAATGAAATTAATTACTCGTTACACTTTATTTTAAGGTGACGTTACATTGGAATACAGTAGTCCTACTTCACTGTAAAAAAATATGTTCATAATTTACTTTTTTCTTTTTTCAAATCAACTTAAAAAATGAATGTGGTTCAGATAACACAATGTTTTGAGTTTCTGTTGATTAAACCAATAATGTATATTACCTCATTTTTTTTATTTCAATAAGGTAACCAGCTAACTAACTTTTTAGGTTAAACCAACAATCTATTTTACAGTGGAGTTACGGTTAGGGTTAGGGTTTGGTCTAGGGTTATAGTTACTTGTAAATATGTATGCATAATTTACTGTTATTATAGTAAGTACATGTGTAACGTAAAATTACGTCACCTTAAAAAAACTTACTTTCCAAGTGAACATGTCGAACTAACATTAAAATACGCATACATTCAAATTTAAATTGAACACAAATAGGCCTATGTAAACATCTAAACCCATATCACCGCGTGTGCTGGTCATTTTCTTACACACTGTCTATCCTACTTTTCAAATCGCTCATCAAATCGCTCATCTACAAAGCGTTCCCAGATCTTTTAATTACACGTGTACCGTGTAAAATATATTAGTAATATTATGCAAATGAGCCCATTCGCCCGCGCGCTCCTCCGCTGATCCTACAGACACGCAGGCAAATGTTTTCACAGTTAATCACGCGCACAATGGCACAGTATCAACCTGTGATGAGAGACCACCCAACTCATGCACTTTTTTTTCTCTCTCTCCTTCCATTTTTGCGGGATAAAGTTTCCGGCAGCTGTCATGGAAATCAGCTTTGTCCTTAACTTAACGGTTAACCAATGTGACGAGGACGAGCAGCGCGTATTTGTTCGTTGAAGATTTGCTGCTTTTTTCTTCCCTCCAGCCCCGCGCGCTACGGATAGTGCACTGCAAATGCCAACGCGATTCCTGAATGGCTCGAGTCCCTGCAGCAGTAGATCAACTGTATAATGTGCGAGTGAGTTTGGTCATTTGTACAAGCTGAACAAAGGTTGGTCTAAGCCAAATTGCATTGCACTTGTGAACCGGGGGCTCTAGTCTTAAGTATCTTTTACAGCTGGAGGGACCGAGAACAATTTTGTGTGCGTCTGAAAAAGGCAGAAAAACAAAGGCACTTTCTGAAGCATCTTAAAGTAGAGTAGTGAGGCGTGACATTCCCAGGGCGATGGGACACAAAGGCTGAGGTCACGCGGATGAAAAAGAGAATCAAACAGCCACTTTCACACGTCTGCCCTCCGCCACACAATAGGAAACAAATGTTGTTAAAAGAGGATCGATGCCATTCATTGTAAGGCAGCGAATGATAGCAAAACAATATTGTCAAACTGAATCAACTTTGGGATATGCTGCCACCCAGGAAAAAAAAAAAAGGAGGGATAGGGGGATAAATATTCGCTCTGCCTTTTTACATCCATGCAAGGAGCGGTCAATAGATGGAGGCGAAATTTTCCACACACAAATATATATATCTCTCTCTCTCTCTCTCTCTCTCTCTCTCTCTCTCTCTCTCTCTCTCTCTCTCTCTCTCTCTCTCTCTCTCTCTCTCTCTCTCTCTCTCTCTCTCTCTCTCTCTATATATATATATATATAGCCTATATATATATAATTACATTAAACTGACTTAAAATTAGTATTATTTTGATGAGTTAAAGCAAAGTAAAAGCATATGTTGTCATAACTTATTGATCATATACTTTTTTGATCATATACAGTTTTAGCCTATATGTGTGTGCGCGCGCGTGCGTGTAGGGCTATATAATTTCAATAAGTGTTTTTCTTCGGGTTACTCCATTCCATACGTTTTGATAAAATCTAAAATCATACTCATAATCAAACTACTCGTGCCAACATTCCCTTTCTTAAGAAGTTTAGTCCGTTACTTTGACCTTAGCACCACAAAACATATCAAAATGACCTTTAATCATTGGACAATTGAAAATGCGCGTCATTTTGACTCATGAATAGCATACAAATAATGACATAATGTCGTCTCATATATAATCATATAAATGATCCAAAAGATACAGCTGGCATATA